ACGCCGCACAAAGGCGAAGCGCCATGAATTTTCTTTTTAGAGCAAGGGACGAAGGGCAGCTGCCAGCATCTGTCAGGTTTTTCCCTTCCCCGGCGTCTTATTTTATTTTTATTTCTTTTTTTTCTTTATTTTACAAGTTCCCTAGGCTCAGTCTGTGGCACCGATGCCCACGAGTTGCTTTTGGCCCCCCGTCACCCCACAGGGTTCAGGGCTGCCCCTGGGACTCTGAACTCCCCCCAGCTTCAAGGGAAGCTGCTCCGAGAAGCAGGAACCTGGGCTGCCAGGGGAAAATGAAGCAATATATTGAAGTGCAATTGCTGGTCCTTTTCAGGGCTTTTTTTTTTTTTTTTAAACAAAACTATTTTCTATTACTCCCCATCAAAAAAGAAGAAATTCTTGATGTTCTGGCCAGTTACAAGAAATAGAGAACAATTTTGCCCCTTCTTGCTGGGTGAGGACAAGGGGTCGGAGGGAGCTGGCTGGGTGTGGGGAAAGAGAAACTCAGAGCAGGTTTCCTTTCCAAAGAGAGCTGTCTCTTCCAGGCAGAGCTGGCTGATCATGCCCAGCCAGCCCCTGCACCCGCCTCTGCTTTCGTGTGTATTTAAAAAAAAAATTATTAGTGGTTTCAGAATGAATCAATGCGGGTGAAAATAGGCTGTAACAAAGGTTCTCACGTAATTTTGAGTGGCATTTCAGTTTCTTTGCGTGTTGAATTTCTGCTTTAAACAAAAAAAAAGTATGTTTTTAGACTGGCACAGGGTGATTTTCTGTAAGGGCTTTCTAGGATGTGTTTGGTTCATTTAGAAGGAAAAAAAGAGCCTTTTCTTTTGCTTGGTGTGCTTTTAAATAATGTAGCTGAATGGTGCTGCAGAAATCTGGCTGAGAGCTGTCCAAGGGCCATCCCCTCCCGTGTGACATTCCTTTTGAGGGACTGCTCAGCTCTCGGCTTTACGCCTCCCCCGTGCCTCAGTCTCCCCTCCAGTGGGACAGGCTGATTTCTTGTGAAGGGTTTGAGCAGGGGCCGTGCTCGGGAGCGGCTGCTCCCAGCGTGGTCCTGCAGCCTGGCGTATGGCAGGGTCGGTGCAGGGGGGAGCGGGTCCCAAAGCCTCGTTGCTCCCCGTCATCCCCCCCAGCCCGCGCCCTTGGGTGCGGGGTTGGCGCGCAGAAATGATTGCTTTTGTGGTTACCCATAAAAAGTTAAAACCGCAGAAAAAGGAACTAGGGCAGAGAGTTGAAACTTCTGCTGGTGCCAGCGTCTTCTGCGGGAGGGGGCTGTGGGGATCCGCGCTGTTACGGGAAGGCAGACGGGACATCTCTGCACGACGGCCCCGTCCCCTGTGCCGTTACTCGGCAGAGCTGCGCCGTTCGGTGCCACCACCGTGACTTCAGCTGAGCTGCTTCGGTTCCCCCCGGCTTTGCTGTGGGACCAACTGTTGAATAACAGTGAAGCTGTGCGGTGTGGGGTGACCCATGGGGAGGACGTGGGGCCTTGGGCGGTGGTCAAGCACTTCTCTTCAACCCCTTTCCTGCCCCACAGGTGTATCCATCCAACTCAGGTGATGACTACAGCAGGGATCCAGCTGGATATACTCCCTCGAAACCTCCCAGCACTGTGTATCCTGGAGCCTTTTATATGGCAGGTGAGTTGTTAATGTCCCCGGTGTCCCGCAAGCCGGCCAGAGCAGGGGCTGGCTGGCTCGTTGCGGATGACAGGAGGAATTGCACAGCATGTGAGATGGAGAGAGCTCAGGGCAGGAGCGCATGAGACATGAAGCAGCCCCGAAATGGCTCTGATTTGCTCAGTGGGTGATGCTTGGCGTAGGCAGGATGCGATAGGGACAGATGCAGCCCCTCAGCCTGGGCTGACTTGCTCCCGTGTGGGCTGTGGAACGCGTGCCGGCATCTCTGCCCGGCTCAGCTCTGGTTTTCTTTCCAGATGGGCTCCATAACTCACCAGACCTGTGGAGTTCACCGGGTGCCATAAGCCAGTCGAGTTACGGTGCCATGCTGGGCAGCTCCTCCTCCCCGCTCCCGCAGTCCAGCGGCTTCAACAGTTTACATCAGCACGAACGCATGGTAACGTGTTCCTGCGCTGCCCCGCAGGCGGGCTGGGGGGCTCTGCTTGGCTGACCTGTGGCAGCGCATCACCTTATGCCGTAGCTGTTGGCCCGGGGCAGCTGCCGAGTGGGAGGGCCTGGGTCCTGGCCCGGATGCCAAAGCCCGGCAGCCATTCGAGGGTTCCTCTCACCCCTCTCCCCCTCTCTGCCAGAACTACCAGCTTCATTCAGGAGAGGTTAACGGCGGACTCCCTTCTGTGTCTGGCTTTTCCTCTGCCTCCACGCCGTACGGTGTCTCCAGTCACACGCCCCCGATCAGCGGGACGGACAGCATGATGGGTACGTGCGGCCCCCAGGCACCTGGTGGTCCCCAGCATGACACCCCCTCACTCCACTGCCATGCAGAGGCTTAACTGGAAAATCAAAGTCTTGGGCAAACCTCTGATGCCCGAGGCTGTGGTATCTACGTCCGATGTACCCAGACACTCTTCATCCCTTGTGTGTCACCGGTGCCTGGAGTTACTGCATGAGGAAGAGGCGCAGCGAGGTTATTGCTGCTGGATACCTGGGCAGGCGGTAGCAGGGGGACGGGGTGCTGGCTTGGGGATTTAGCCCTCGCCTGGTGGATCTGGGAGGAGACCAGGGTCTGTGACTTTATCTCCTGGAGGTGCCGTGGCTTAAATGAGTTGCAGAAAGGATTTGCATCTGCGTTGCGGGAGAGCGGGGGTATGTGTGAAGCCGTTCATCTAAATCTGGAATAGGAATGTTTGTGCTGCGTTTGGATACCACATTAAACCCCCGAGTGCTTTAATCTCTAACCCTGCCCAACCTGTTACAAAACCTGTTACTGAAATGAACTCATGTTCCCCAAGAAATGAGGATCCTGACCTTGATTCATAGAAAAACGCTTGTTTAGAGGAGGGGAAGCAAATTTGGGATTGTAGGGGCTTAAGATGCCCCGTGAAAATGGGCCATGCTGCAGCAGACACATTTGATCGCTGTTGATGGCATGACACCTTCCACCCAGCACCTTATAAAGACGTTCCTGCAGCCCCACGAAAGCTGCCGGCATGTGTGTGCTCTCATCCAGGCTGCTCTGAGCTGGGCATCCATTTAATTCTCAAGCAAAGCAGTAAGAGTGAGAAATTTCGATCTCAAAGCAGGTGACCCCACAGAAGGTCTTGTGCGGGTGCCTTGTCCTGCTGGGTTTCTGGCACCCTGGCAGTGACGTCTTGTGTCCTCTCTCAGCAGGTAACAGAGGAACCACAGCTGGGAGCTCAGGAGACGCGCTCGGGAAGGCACTAGCTTCAGTAAGAGTTTCTGCAGACCCTTCACCTGGTCCCTGTGCTGTTTTAGCGTTGGACCTCCCCTCTACAACAGGGACCCTCTAGACAGCAGGGAAAATGGACTCGTTGAGAAGTTTGGGTGAATGCATCCCAAAACCATGTCAGCCTCTGAAGGGAGAGTTTTTCCCCTCTCTGTGCTGCCGTCCTGAGTCCTGGCACCGTGCAAAAGCACCTTTTGGCAGATGGGGAAACCAAGGCACTGGATGTTATGGTGGCCCCGCAGACCCTTGCCCATGAGCTGGCTCTGCGGCTGCCCAGCCTGCTACTGGTCTGGCAAGATGACCCCATGCAGCCTTCGTAACAGGACTTACAGGTCCCAGTAGTCCTGGCCCTGCATGTGCTGGTTCAAACTGGAGGGCACTGGTCCCACCGGGCTGTCAGAGCTGGGGCTTGCCTCTGTCGCATTCAGCGCAGGGACCTTTGCTTCTGCACGGTGGCAGAGGGGTGCCAGCACTGCACGCCGCAGTGATGTCTTGGGGCTGTCCCTTCCCTCTGGGGTGGGACCTGAGGAGCGGCGGCTGTAGCTGCCGGGTGGTGGCAGTGGGGACAGAGAGGGGCCCTGGTGTTAATGGGGGAGCTGCGGGGGGACCAGCAGGCTGGGCCATCGCGCCAGCTGGGAGCCGGTGTGGGTATGGGGAGGGGGGTGCCAATGGATGGTCCCATCGGGTGGTCCTTGCTGCACCTGGGCTTGGCAGCGCTGCTGGGGAGGGGGAGAGCTGCCGCAGGGTTGGGCGCTGCTGACCGTGCCCTGCTTCTCTCGCTCCAGATTTATTCCCCCGATCACTCTAGCAATAACTTCTCGTCAAACCCCTCCACACCAGTCGGCTCCCCTCAGGGGCTTGCAGGTAGGTGGAAAACGTTGCTCTTTGTGTAAAGGGGGATTTCAGGTTTGCTTTCAGGAGGTCCAAGGCATTATGCTTCCCAGATCGGCCCCAAACCCTCATTAAAGATACTTCTGGCAATCTCGCCATATCCCATTTATTTTTAAAAGCGGGAGGGTGAAGAGGAAGGACAAGCAAACTTGAAGATACTTTTTTAAATGTCTCCTGTGAAGTTGCATGTCTGTCTGCTTTATTCGGTTGTAGCTTTTCCCCGTGTTCGGAGCCAGGCAGTGCCCGGGTGCGGCGAACGCCGCGTGCGTGAGGGCGATGGCTCTGCCTGCGTCCAGCTTTGTCCCTGCGTAGGAGTTCTAGCAGGCGGCTCTGCCGCAGGCACGAGCCTGGCCCACGTGGTAGCATCATTGTGTGCTTGAGTTAAAGCATCGCTGCCACCTCCTTGGACCTACTCCTGCCATTCAGACAAACCCTGTTCCTGAGCATCCCATCTTGGAGAAGCTGGGAGAGTTTGTCCCTGGTTTTGTCTCCCGTGGGAGGAGTGCAGTGGGAACTGGGAAGCAGCCAGCTAGTTAAAAACCATTTTCAGTGCCTGAGGAAGGCCTGCCGCTGCTCCCATCTGGCGGGACAGGCCTCATTTCTGCCTAGTAGAGCTGGTGCCGAGGCTCCTTCGTGCCCGGGGTGCGGACCACCGCCCCCCCGCCAGCCTGCTGCCCTCCTGGGCTTGGAGCGAGCGCAGCGTGTGTGCTGGCTGCACGCTCGCTGGGGTGGTGTAGATTCATAAACCTCTCGTGGTCTGAAGACCTGAGCTCAGTGTCCTGCTGAGGCACAGCAGAGGCGAGTGTGCCATGGTGGCCCGTGCAGTGCCGTGGTGGCCCGTACGGTGCCGTGCGTTGCGTGGTGG